ATTGCAACATCTGAATGTCTTTTCTAGTACCTTTATTTCTATTTTAGCAAATTCTAATCCAGGGGTGTCAAACTCGCAGCCGGCAGGCCAGATGTGTCACACGCTGGCCACACCCAACCCCAGTTTAGCGAAGGGGAAAAAAGTGTGATATGTTACGTAACGACAACATGCCATTGCGAGTTGGACACCCCTGTTCTAACCTATAGCATCCTTCTTTAGTGTTGGTTCCTTTAATTGTTGATATTCAATAATAATACTGATGCAGCTAAGAAAAATATAACTTGTTTCACTCATGGCCTGGTGTACTGTGAACACAACTTCATGGAGATATGTCAGGAAAAAAGATGTTGCTAGAGCATGTTTATACCAAAATCTTTGCAGTAGCAACAAGCCAAAAGACGGGGGAAATTCACTCTTTTGCCTGTTACGTCATTAAGATGCCCTCATCCCCAAAAAGAAGTTCAGGTTTGCTTCAGGAAAACCATACAGCATTGTCCTGTAAATCCTGGTAAGAGATTTTGGATTTCTTACTCTGGGTCTAACTCCCAGGATTCCCTGTTTATTATATTTTGATAATTTTGTTAGTTATTTGTTTTAATTCCAGAATAAAAGCCTTTATAGGAGAAAAGAATGATGGCTAGGAAGATATTTTACTATAGAAGTTATATAATTATGCATGGCATTGGATATTTTAATCCTTTTCTAAAATTTTAGGACTTAGAACAAGCAATAAAATGTACTAGCTGGAGATAAAGTACTTTGCACAATGTATAATTAATGTAATTCACTACCACTGGAATCATAATTATTAGTCACAGAGTTGTTAGTTTTGTCATTTGAAGCAATTTATGAAGAATGAGTCCCATTGGTGGCGATAACCTGTAAGAACTAAATGTGAAAGGGAAGAGGTGAAGGAAGACTACTAGCTTCTTGCTTATATAGCTAATCATATTCGAAAACCAAATGCAAGGCTAAATGGATCTTTGTTCCAATCCAAAATCTAGTTGTGGCAGCTATAAAATTATAAAATATATGAACAATGAAATGTAGAAATAATTCTCAGTTCTCCTTCCAAAAGAAATTGAATGTAGGTGAATTTTAAAAAGAGATGTCAGCTGCGTGTTTTCTCCCTGAATTACATGTGCTTTTCCCATGTTGCAGTTTTCTACTTGAGGCTTCTTTGTTTAAAATATTCATTCCACACCTAGAACTAGTTCTTTATGATCAGCCTATTTTATATAAAGTATGCATGAATGGGCCACTTAGTTCTCTGCCAAATTAACTTTGCAAATAATTTAAATCATTTAAAATAATTCCTTTCTGTAACAACTCTAACAATATTCCAATATGATCCAAAATAATGGAATGGAATGGAATGGAATGGAATGGAATGGAATGGAATGGAATGGAATGGAATGAATGAATGAATGAATGAATGAATGAATGAATGAATAAATACATACATACATACATACATACATACATACATACATACATAACTTTATTGTCATTGTATGTGTATACACAGTATACCCATACAATGAAATTCACTTAACACCTAAAGACCAGGTCCAACACACATCATAATCCCCAAACACACTCCCACCCACCACCCACCCCTAAACCACCCAAACATCCACACAACAGACCAAGTAATACTGTCCAACAGCTCATGAAATATGGTGAACTAGGTTTCACTTTTTCCATATAAGATATGTGTGGTTATCTACCAAGATAACATTCTGGCTGTTTGTATTATTTTTTGTTGATCTGTGACCTGACTAAAGACTTGGGCCACTGTTACTTTCCCAGATAAAAACTTAAAAACTTTTTTTTGGACTGTGAAATCTTACTCCTAGGTTTGAAAGTGAGGCTGTAAAATTCTCATCGAAAGTAACACTGTGCCTAACTGTTGCTGGCTTTTGTTAATGGGAGTGAGAAGCTAGTGGTTATTTTCCTACCTTTTTCTTCTTTGTTGTCTAATTGGGCAAAATTACCACTTCAGCTCTTGGTCTGGTTTTTAGACTGTTTTTAACCAGAATAATGAGGGGGCCTAGAATCCTGCAGAAACTTGACTATGTTTAACTGCCTCCTCCTTGCAATTCTCTCCCAGCAAATTATGTCAGTTGAGAGAACAATAACTTAGAAATGTCATATCTGCCTCCTTTCCTTTTCATTAAAATATTCCAGGTGAATCCTTCTTCTCCTTAATGTATAGAGTGATGTAAATCAGGGGTCTCCAACCTTGGCAACTTTAAGCCTGCTGGCTGGGGAATTCTGGGAGTTGAAGTCCGCCAGGCTTAAAGTTGCCACAGTTGGAGACCCCTGATCTAAATCACTGTTAGATCTTCGAGGTATTCCAGACAAGAAGATACTATCTCTATCTTTATTGTAAGGTTGCATTAACAGAATCTTGCAAGTCTGAAAGACATACACACCCTTCACTTTTATGCTCCCCAAAAGCGTAATCTCCCTTCTGAGATACTTTTGCCCTTTCTCC